CTAATTGTTTGTACCTGTGTTCTAGGTTTTGAACTGACGATGGAGCTGGACTCCGAAACGTTTTCTCTTATAAGAAATGGTGAAATTTTTGGCTATTTTCTTTACTTTTAAATTCCTCGTGCAAAAGAGATATGAATGAGATATGAATATCTTTACTTTTAGAGATATGAATCTATAACTTGGTGATCAATGACCACAGTGATCAAATAACAATAATATTTTCTGCGAAGTGAAATTGTACGTAATCGAATATGGTTCTATTACACTGACGTATGAGAACGCCCGGTAGAGCTCAGCGATGCTTCTGCTAATTAAGCTTAAGTTTCATTAATCACAGGCTAGGGTCCTCCCCAGACATCGATAACAGCGATAAGCCTGAAAAAAGGGCGGCCAAACTACTCGTCAGCTAATGCAATGCAAGAATTCACGCTTCGCAGCAACATCCATCCTCATGAAGCAGTTATACACATGAAGCGTATACAGCGGCCTTGCGTGTCATGCTTCCATGTCTTCGTATTTAGTTTAGATTCGGTTTTTGGTACGTGTATATAGAAGTAGTCTCACTTTCTTTATTGTATTAATAACTTTGACACGCGAACCAGTGTAGGCGATAAATAAAAATTAGCGAAGATAAGATAATAATTGAACTTGGTTTCAAATTATTTTTTCAAATTTGGTCATAAAAATATTTATCTCTCGTAAACTATGATCAGCTTGACGTTATCTTGGGATTACCAATGAGAACATCGCGTGACACAAAAAAAAAACGACTTCACCTAAACCAGGAGGTGACTACTTTTCATTAGCAACGGAATATATGCGCGTTGCCTCAGGTGATAAAATACGACATCCGTCCACAAAAGAGTTTTTAGAAAAAAACTGTTCTTTTATTCGTAATCTCGTCACCACCTACAGTCGAGCTAAAAACAGAGGAAATGAACAATTTCAGAGGAAAATTGAAGACCAGCTACACAGGAGCGAGATAGCGACTGTTGAGCGACGACTGGCTGGGGATTAGCATTTATAATTAAAGTGTTGCAGATAATGCTTTGTACAGCTGATTTAGGTTTCCAGATGAATTAGAGGCGAAAAACTTTTTTCGAATTAATTGGTCATGCAAGAAATATACAATATTTTGCAAAGCTAAAGCAGACTTTTGAATTAAATTCTAATGATAAAAAAAAGTTTGACTTTAAGCAGAAATATTTCACAGAGGAAAGTTTGAAGAGCTCTCTCACAGATGCGGATTAATTACTTGAAATATGACGAGCTCATAAGACGCTTACAATTACATGCGTGCTTCATTAACAACATCAGCCAATTTAGGTTTTATCATGAGAAATTGCGGGACAATGACACATAAAAGGTTGAAGTATTTAAGTATTTTATCAGGAGACAAAATGTTTTTACACGTGAAGCACCTGCATGAGAGGCCAAATGGTCAAAGCACAGAATCAGAGTTGTTAATTGGATTTTGGTTCAAAAGATGAAATCAATATACAGTAGAAAGAATTTATTTCGACAAAATATGACACGCTATTCACAACAGACATGTTGGATGAGAAACGGACGGTGAAATAACACTCTGTAAAATACCTAATAATTTGCTAGTTTTGTAAAATAATAAAAATACTGTATTTATTAACACCATGCCAATGATCGCGGGAAAAAATGTGCAAGCTAAAAACTGTCGGGATTTGGGTACCACGTAAATGGAAAAGATTTAGAAAATAGGACTAATGCAAAGAAACGAGGGTTAATCGATTCAACTGCATAGAGTTTGTATCGAGTGCAGCCGCTGGCGACGTAACGTCGATTATCGTCGTAATTATCGTCGAAGGAAGAATGTGAAGCTGGCGTAGCTAGCGAGCAAAAAAAACAACGCAAGTTTCTGTCAACGAAACGAAGTTAAAAACTTCAGTCAAATGCTGCCACGTGAACGCAAACCTCTTGTTTGCCAGGCAGAAAGGGGTGAAGAGATGGCAAGTTGAAAGGTTCTGGAAAATGTCTTGTCACCATTAAGAAGCAAGAAATGCATGAGTGGGTGAAATGATAGTGATTAATTCTTAGAAGAGAGAAGGTATAATGGAAGTATAATCGTTGTGGCAGTTGCTTTGTTTTTTAACTTTTTGAATATTTATGTACGTCACAGGGTAAAATCTATGATTCGTTTCAAGGCAATAAATATACATTTTCGAGCAGAGATGGTGATGAGGGAAGATGTGACGGTGGAGGAGAGGAGGGTGAGGTGAAACTTTGAAGAAGTCCTAAGGGAAGTTTGCAGCGGGCGGGATTACACACAAAGTTCGAGTATCGAGCAAAGTTGTGGCCGCCAAACGCGAGGCTGCAAGACACTCGTGAACCTGAGACTGGCAACGATACACGCACACGCTCCTGGCGTATGATAATGCCACAACCGACACGCTTTTATACGCTCCATGTGACTACGTGTGCATGGCATACGATACACATAAAAGCTATGCGTGCGCAGCGCAGAGAACACGTATGTTCGCGCTATGTACGCTACATGAAAAGACCTCGCATGCCCGGTATGCGCTACACGCTACGATCACAGATGCCCAGTATTCGCGCCCCGTAATCCCGAACGCTTGCTAGATGAGCGCGAGTGTAACTCACGAGTCTGAGTAAACGCGGCCTCCAGTGTCGTCAGAAGATCAAGAAGCTCAATTTACATGCCCTGGCTTGCGCAGGTGACCGAGGCATAACTTCCACGACCACAGCACCACACATCAATGGTAACGTCAGTGATAACGAGACCGAAATGACAAATAGAACAAAACACTTCTTAAATAGGTTACTAATAGTTTATATTATATATTGTGTTGTCTAGACGAAGATTAATATTTATTGATTATGAGGTTTTCAAACAAAACCATTGGTAAATAGGTAACAAGTAATTCAAATTGTGTATTGAGAGGTTTTGACGAAAATAAAGTATGGACTATGAAGTACCTATGTAATTAATGTAATAAATATTGCGTTTTGTTGTTAAATTAACAAGTTACCAGTAAGACACAGTGTGAAGAAACTAGTGCATTGTAAATTTTTATGTTCAATATATTCTATTGTAATCTGAAAACGAAAACTCCTGATCATATTAAGGTTGGGGCCTATCTGCGAGGGCCACGAGATAACCTTTAATAACTCGAAATAATGACATAAAAATGATTTCAAAATGCGCCCGATTAAAGTAAAATTTTTCTCGGCGCTACCTCGGAACGCGTCGATCTGACCTGACGAGCGAAATGCAATCAATTTCGATTTAGTGGAAGTTTTTCAGCAATACAGATGCGTGAAGTGGAACAAATTTCGTCAGATGTTAGGGACGGGAAAAGTTTTCATGCAGGACTCAAATATTGGAATAGTTTGGGCGACGGCGTCACGTGGCAGCCAAACAGCGGATCGATGATCCATCATATTACAATCGGGCAGGATTTCTCAACAGTATTTGAATAATTTTCTCAAATGGATATAAATATTCTAAACATTCAATACCATATTCAATTCTAATGAAAGATTATATTGAAATTCAAAAATAATTTATAAGTTATGTATGAAATAATCAAAACATCTTATCAGTATATTGAAATATAAAAATTGTACAATGCATGATGACTTGAAAAGTATAATAATTTTATTTGAAATGTTAATTTTATCTTTTTCAAAATAGTTATTTACATGTAGAACGATTTAGGCTCTGAAACGATATTTTCTTGCAACGTTATTTTATGAATCCAATGATTATGGTGAAAATTCTGTTTCAGCCGATTTTCTGAGCCAAGAACAAAATTATTATATTATTGCTTGCCTAAGCAACGGTAACTGCACCAGTTAAACCCACTCAGTTCTTTCCTTACATTATTTTGCAAATTTATGAGCTCTACAGAGCGCCATGCAGTGCAAGGCGCTGCTGCAGAACATAATTTTTTAGCTTATTTACTCTGTAATTTCGAATGCCCGCGGATACCAATCAATGGTGCACGCAAGAAAATTAGTAGGGGATTATGATTGACTGATACCAAGTGCTTGGAAGTTCAGGTTATGGGGTAATCACAGACTTCGGAGTGTGAATAAGCGTGATCGCTGAGTCACCAGTATCAAATTACCAGACCATGCAACTGCGTAACTTTGACCTTACGTATAAGTACGGAGCAGCATAAGTCGTTACATGTGACTTGCTGTTCCTATTTCGCAGATACCAGGGAACTTTTTCACTTCGTTTCGAATCGAAACTTAATAAAGAGATAAAAAAGTTATGCTCAGATATATCCTGGAATGTATTAATGCTCAAAGTTAAATTAAGACAGGATTTAAGAGCAACATATTTTAAACCAAATTGAACTTCGCAGTTGTTGAGAATGAAATCTGAGTAGCACAAGCTCTCGGCAGAAAATGCAATGGCGATGCTTCAAAATGCAGCAAGAAGACAAAATTTCGTGAACAACAAAACTGCAGCAATCGACGAACTTTAGAAGCTGAAAGTTAGAGACGTTGTATCTTGAAAGATGATAATACAGATCGAGAATATCAAAATTGTCGCATTTTATTGTTTAAAAATATCACAGTAATTTTTGGAGCAGACTTAAACCAAGGAATCGTGCCCGAAATAAAACGAAAAAAACAAAGAACGCTGGGGTAAACTATATACTGAAAATGCATAGGGAATGCCGGTAATCAAAGAAGAAAATATTTACATGAAAATAAATATATAAGAATGTAAAAAACGACCAAGTTACTGCATTTTGTGTAAAAAATATTTATGAAAAGTATTCTTTTTTGCAGCCCAGAAGGCAGCCTTAACGTGCCCAGGTATTCGCGATGCAAGAAAGAAACGTTGCCCCAATGCAACAATCTCTGGTGGAGGCATTCGGCAGGTCGTCAAGCTCCGGTACAGCTCATTTGGGCTGGTCTAAAGTCCAAAAATTTCTCACCACTGCCCTAATATTCTTCACTCAACATCGAGCCGTGTTCGAAGGTCTCTACTTCAGAACTTTACGGGGGTAGTCTGACTGTAATTGCTTCAGAGTGGCGATTGTTTCGGCGGCCACGCCACTGCAATGTCAGAAAAAATGTCGGTAACTAGAAATCCTGGCTGCGCAGAAACAAAATCGAAGAAGATTTTTCGCTTGCGTAAACAGCCCCGGCCTTGTTGCTGGCAGCGACACCGAAAAAGGCTAAGTAAATTAAACTTTGAAATGAAACAATGACTGCTCTGCCTACAGCAACCAGATTATTGCTATCCGAGGGTATTTAATGAATTAAAAGATATTTGAAGAAACTAGCAAATAACTTTTTTTCCTTGATGAGATTTAAATTGAATAATTGCATGGTTAAGAAAAATAAAAAGTGTGGAATAAACTGTTTCCTGAGAAAATTTTCAAACAAAATTTAACATGAATATAGAATAAAACTTGCCAGGAAGCTCTTAACAGTATTTTGAAATTGTCCCAAATCCGAGAAAACGTATAAATTACACAAATTACACAAAAAAAGCATTAACTAAGACCAAATTTTCCCCAATTAGGCGAATTTCAGGGCAAATACTGTAAGCAATACCCTGTTAAACTGAACATAACATTTTCATTAATTTCGAAAGAATTATTTAGCATGTATATGCCTAACAAGCTCATGTGTAAAGCTAATTTCAACTGACAGCACGAGGGATGTATCCAAATCCAGCCATTGCGCCGATGTCGAAACCAGTGCTTGCAAATCCGACGACGTCACAAGCCGCACCTGCAAATCCGACGATGTCGAAAGCAACGCATGCAAATCCGACGATGTCGAAAGCAACGCATGCAAATCCGACGATGTCAAAAGCAACGCCTGCAAATCCGACGATGTCGAAAGCAGCGCCTGCAAATCCGACGATGTTGAAAGCAGCGCCTGCAAATCCGACGATGTCGAATCAGAGCCTGCAAATCCGACGAGGTCGAAAGCAACGCCGTCGAATCCGACGATGTCGAAAGCAGCGTCTGCAAATCCGACGATGTCGAAAGCAGCGCCTGCAAATCCGACAATGTCGAATCAGAGCCTGCAAATCCAACGATGTCGAAAGCAAGACCTGCAAATCCGACGATGTCGGTCGAAAGCAACGCCGTTAAATCCGCCGATGTCGAAAGCAACGCCTGCAAATCCGACGATGTCGAATCAGAGCCTGCAAATCCAACGATGTCGAAAGCAAGACCTGCAAATCCGACGATGTCGAAAGCAGTGCGTGTAAATCGGGCCACACGAGACAGCTGGCACACTCAGGTCGATCAAAACAGGTCTCAGGCGTCTGGCCGGGCCGGGTCTTAGGGCCGCGGTTTGTTTGTTCACCGGTCAGGGTTTTGTGAGCAGATTTCACGGCCTGAATGGCAGCAAACTGAGGCCGAGATACCGTGGCGGTGGGCAAATATCTGGTCCATTGACGGGGAACGCTTGAAGAATTCATCAAGCGGTATATCCAGAAGCAGTTTAGAACAAACAATTGAGGGAGCAATCAAAGAGAAGACTAAGTCCATTCACCGCTAAAGCTTGCGAGTAAATTTCGGAGGAGAGTAAATAAGCCAACTCCTGTATTGATTGGGGCTCAACAGTTTATTAGAAAAGAATAGAACGTCTGCTGTTCACATACCTGCGAGAAAATTACCTTTTCCCACTATTTAAATATTTAACAGTTAAGGTTAGTAAATTGCAATTTTCAGTTATCGCTTATTTTGGTTGAGTCTCTCAGATGTGTCATTCTTCTAGTGCGGTTGTTTCACTCTCTTCACCTTTGTACGGATATTGATGTAAATTCTAAACCTTTATTTACGTATTAAGTTTTGTTTAGAGATTTTAGACAAATCACTCATCTAATTTATTTACTTGAGGTATCGAATAAGTTCAATTGAGTAAGAGAGTCACTCGAATTAAGTGCAGAACCAGTGTCTATTGCGACCCGAGTATCTGTCTTCTCTTTTCACGTAATTATCCGCGCTATTCCGCACGTCTTAACGTGTGCATCACCTAAATTTTACCGATTCCTTCTCAATTTCAAATTTACAAGCTTTATAAAAGCTGGAAATAAATTACCGGGGCGCAATTTAAATCTTATGTTCATGAGTTCCAGCATTTATCCACTTATTCATTGCTTTATTTACGGCACTTATGAACACATATGTTAGGAATGATACAAAGTAATGTACTTGATCACAAAACTATGATCTATATAACATCCTTTCATTCGTCAGTGTTGTAAGTTGTGTACATTAGGGTAGCTACATAAAGCAGAGATTTTGTTTCTAGAATATTTGTTATTTAATCTAGCAAGGACAGCATGTGCCGATTTTTGCCAATTCATTAAGTGCAAGGTTCTGGAATCAGAGCAACTATGCAGTATGATACACAATCTTCAGAACTAAAACACATCGACGATTGTTGGTTGGAAGTCAAGTGTGTACAATTGACCCATAACCATTTTATTGTCCACTCACATATCAACTGAGTTTTACACTCACAGGTTCTTTAAAACGCGCATTCAGGGTTCACCAGGAAACTAACTCCATTACCCTCGCTATACGTTCGAAAAGTTTACTGCAAATGAACTGAAAGCAATAAAATGCAAGCGAAAGCTTGAACGGATTAGCAGAGCTGGGAGCTCCTTTTCCTGCGTATGGACAGAAGCCAAGCGCAGTCGTATTTTCGAGGACTAAGGAGGAGTTTGTACAGCGCTTTATGGCTGCAAACCTGGAAAAAAATGAGATTTGAAGCTAGACAAGATAATCCTTGAAATGGAGCAAGTTGGATTATAGTTGTTTATACAACAGAGCTTGTGGCATTATTGCATTGTGTTTGTAGAAAGTTCAAAAGATGCTCTTATTTCATTATAGTTATATGTGAAATATACATGAGGTTTGTAGAGATTTCGATAAAATAATCGAATAAATAACTATTAAGAAATAGAAAAAAATAGCAAGAAAAGTTCGTAATAATGGGGATGGAATGGCACAGGTGATTGAAACTAGAGAAAATTCATATGAAATTTTATTACGGAGTGACCGAATTTAAATATATCAACTGAGCTTGAGGCAGAAGAAAACCATCCTGGAAAGGTAAACGAGGCTGGACTCCAATAGTTTTGCACTTCCAAAAGATCTCAATTTTCGAGGAGCGGAAGCTGGAGTCAAACCTAGGGCGACTAAACTGGAAGTCGGAGTGCTGGAAATGCGCAAGAGTGAGGGGGACTGCAGAAGTTGGGAGCGTATAGAAGATGGCTTAGATCAAATTGTCGAGCCGTTGATTCGGTTAGGATGGTCTTCAGACCAGGCAAACTGATCACTATCGGGCACAGACAAGGTGGCTTGCGACTCACTGCAACGTACAGCTTTCTCAGACAAATTTTGAGAGCATCGCGAGTCAAGGCAGTATTTGAACCTAAGTGTCAGGTATTGAATAATCATGCACTAGTCCCAAAGAAAGCATTGATGACAAGATAAAATTGCTAAAAAATGGCCTATGAAATTTTAAATCGGGAAAGATTCTCAGTTGAAATACATTTTCAATAACAGTCGCGAATTCGAGCAGAAGATAAGCTTCCAGGCGGAAAACTCGCAAAATTCCTTCAAATTTTAACAGGCAATAAAACAACGAATCGCAAGGTTGAAAATCATTGCGCATTGCAAATTGTAAGCCTCCATCATCCCAGACACACGGTGTCTTCCATTACTCAGGAGCTGTGGCACCGGTGACCAAGTTAACAAGACTCCTCAGGCTGGCCTTCGTGTGGGGACAACATCGAGCTAATTTAGCGTCCAAATGGAACCATGCGAAGGTTGTGTGTTTTTCCTGGTCGAGTGGAAGCCGTGATGCATCAAGGTCTATAATCCCGCCAGATTTGAAGGGTCATTTTCGAAGTCACTCCTGCGTGAGATCCTCAAGGGAAGGCTGTGTCACGCGAGCCCTCTTTTCGCGTGCACGTACACAGAATGTCGGGTTTAGTGGCTTAATCGGCTGCCTTCCCTCACATGGAAGATCACTTAAATTACAGGGATGAGCTGTGATCGTCGTCATATCTTCACTTATCAGAAGATTTCTAAACTTTATAAACTTTCATGAACATAGTTCGATTTTCGTCTAACATGATCTTCGCAACATCATAAAATATTCGCATTTGACAAGTTCGTGCACTTTCCTGAGAAATTTTCGAAAGAATATGAACTCCAAAACTGAGTGAACACAAAGGAATCTACTAGGCAGAAAGCTAAACAGAGTTTCAAAACAAGCTTTCAAACATAATACATCACCGATCATCCGCAACCAACAATTTAGGAAGCCCTTTTCGCTAAAAATTCTAACCATAATATTATTGTAAAATTCGAACGTAACGTAATACGTACGGTATAATTCCTTATAAAAAGCTCTTCTCGATCTTTGCTTGAAGATCTCAGACCACCAGATCGATGAAGCAAGGATTAGAGAAGCAACATAAGCATCTTCGGGAGGTAAAAAGTGGGCAAAGTCGAGAAAGAATATATAAAAATGAAAGAAAATCTATAAAAACTGAAGTATTTCTGTTTAACGATAAATCACAGTTACAGGATAAATTATTAAAAAATATAGTGGGTTGTTTCCATCACACGAGAATTTTAATTAAATGTGAACAAACTTTTTATACATGCACATGAATAAACAATTTAACTGACCCTTGGCTAACAAGAGCGCATCTAATCCCGTCTCCCCCCTTGAAGTGTTTCATGCTTCGAGAGCAGCGTTGTTTTTCTTATGCACGTTGGCTGGAGGAACTACATCGTGCCTTACGTATAGTATTGGTATTGTTATCGCAACGCTCCAGTATTCAAAGTCGTATTGCTATCGCAACGCTCCAGTATTCAAAGTCGTATTGCTATCGCAACGCTCCAGTATTCAAAGTCGTATTGCTATCGCAACGCTCCAGTATTCAAAGTCGTATTGCTATCGCAACGATCCTGTATTCAAAGTCAGACCAGTCCAAGAAGCAGCCATCCTGTGGCTGACGGTGTATCGACGAATGTTTCCAATGGGGTCTGCAGACCATAAAGCATCGTGACGTCGTCCGCATGCGGCTATTCATCTTATGTAAATGATCTCGATGAGGAGAATAAAGGAGCTCCTTATGTACCGAAATGCGATGCATGATGAATATTTAACTGAACACTGCATCGCGTGAGCTAGGTCGCATGGAGGAACCGTTACGTGTGGTAGCGATGTTATTATTAAAATAATAAACGTTTCATGTCTTAACCCCAGCAGACTGAGAGGGGCAAGAAGTGAAATGGCGACAACTCGAATGTGCGGTAGAACATCTCAGGGATAGGTTGGGACAGCAATATTTATGTAAGAATTCATTATTCAATGGTTTCAGCGTGTAGCTGCGAACGTTTTCGTTAACGGCATCTTTTACTATTGAATTTAGAATTGATATCATCTCAGATATCATTGGGGACTCTCGTAACTTCAGCTTAATAAACGCAAGAAAAATGAACAGTAGGCCAAATTATTTGGACAAGAAATATACAGGTTGAGTAGATCTTAAAAATATGATTCCAAAAAATTCCATTGAACAACGCTCCGAAAAGATTGACCACAAGTCCTCCTGAACACTTGAAATTCTCGTCCCCTGGAACAGAGTTAAAGGAAGCTCCTCGCAGTAGCAATGCAGCTGAACCCTCGCTTGAAAGCAATAACTGCATAAAGCAGGCAAGGTGATCTCTAACGATTCTCCGCGAAGAACAATATTGCATAAGGCTGTAAAAACCCAGGCAATGAAAGCGATGGAACCCGACACACTTTACAATTCAGAAAATCAGAGATATAGCAGAAGGCAAAAATGTCAGTATATTAAATATGCACGAAGAGTGATAACAACAGTCTCGCTTTTAAAGTTATAAGAGAAGTAACATGGAGCAGGCGATTATTCTGGTATTCTGAGTATAGAAGTAAGTGCCTTACTACGGCGAATGCAGGAGAGTGATGAGTATCTGCACATGTACAGTCAGACCGA